TGGGTGAATAAGTATAAAGCGGTTCTTTCACACAAAGCATATTCTGTGTACGCAGCACAAACGTCACCACCAGCTTTGAAAACTCGATTGAAGGGGGAGACGAAGTGGGCGTCGAAAAAGTTCTCTTTTCTCATAAGCACATCTCGCTCAAAATTGTGACATACTACTTGCTACAGTGAAGCTGTGTCACAGCAGAACACGCTTTCGAATATAGTAGGTAATTCTGGTCGCAACAATGTGAGTTGTCTGGGATATTGTATTTGGGGAAAACTATGACGACCTATTACGCAATCATGTACATTAAGGGGGGATACGTTGAGGTAAGAGCGAACTCGAAACGCTCAGTCCACAGCAATGAGCGCCACTTCCATGTGGCCTCTTTGTCTTACTAGGACGTTTAGTTCTTAGTAAGCAGAGGGGGAGAAAAAGGAGGTGGATAAGGAGAAGAAGAAGAAGAAGAAGAAGAAGAAGAAGAAGAGGAAGGAGGAGGAGGAGGAGGAGGAGGAGGAGGAAAATTAGCCGATGAAAATTCTGGAAACAAGATGACCAACATAAGAATTTAGATGGGACTGTTAGGATACTGAGCATAAGCCTACTTTGTTTGCGTGAGGGCTCACCGACTGGTCATGGGACTCAGTCGTCTCAATCTAAAAAGACAAGACCACGAGCCCGTAGCTCAAGTGTTAGAACGTTGGTTTTCCAACCAACGGATTGCGGGTTCGAGCCTCGGGCGGGGCACCACTTAGGGTTGGGTATGACTAGCTGATGACGGCTAATTAACCATAAATGGCCATTCCATTCTCCCTGGTTATTGTCGATAATGTTATCGCAGGGGGTTAAGTGAGTTAAACCCAGCAACTACGATCTTCAGACCATGGTTACTTAGTTGAGAAGAAGTCGGTAAAGGCCAAAGTAGTGCGAAGAGTATATTGTGTGCACAAGGGAAAGGAGAATAGATGGAGGAAGTCTGACTTGGGTGAAAACGTCCGCTCAGGAGATTGACCGGGCCCCAGGTGCGAGTTTGAGAGCAGTCAGGCCAGTATACAGAGTGAGAGGGTGTTCATTGGCTAGGTCGGCCTGTGATTGGTTGGACACCGTGCGGGTGGTCAGCGTGTGGGTGTTCCATGTCCCGTGCGCTAGTAGGTCTGGCTACCGCAACGACCTTGAGGTCTAGACAGATTGTGGTCACGGCAGGAAGGGCAGGCATCGTTCAAACAACGACCCACTACAATGTCATTCTGTCTATATTATTAGCCGCTGTTCAACTGCTAGCAGGGCTCGAGAGTAAGCCCGAAGGCTGAATGGGACGAGCGGGTGAACGCCTATCTGCCACGGTGTTTTTCTTCGATCGAAACCGGTAAGGCAATGTGCCCGTGACGCAGTAATTAGAGCGTTGGACTTCTAAATAACAAGGTTGGGCACCACCTGGGGCGGGTATTTTGTCCCATGGTGGCCAATGAGCTGTAAATGACCATTACAGTCTCCCTGGTCTTTGTCACTAATGTTCTTCTGTATAACCTTACTGTCTGACTTTCTGACGGCAAAAGTAGCTTATGTAGGCCCACTCATATACCTCTTGTCCCAGCATTTTGTCCTGCAAAAACGGTGGTTATATAGTTTTGGGGGGTGGGAAGATAAGATAGGCAGGGAAGGAAATTTTTAGAAGTAAGTGTAAAGTGAAAAAATGCAGTCGAAGTTGCTTCCCGCGGCCGCTGGGAGCAGGTTCTCCGCATGTAGATTGAAGGTGTGCGCGGCGCTTCGCGCCGCGGACTATACTAATCTA